CATCCGCCTGATGTTACCACACGTTTGGACAGCATTGTGTTTACTGAAACCTGGCTGTAATTTGAGATCACTCATGCTGAGATAGCCATGCCTGGCATAATTCTCTAAAAGTCGACCCAGTAGTGGAGAAAAGGTAATCTTGTATCATTCATCTGAATTGCATATCGAGATCATCGACAATTCAGGTACGCAAATTGTCAACTCTCTTTCTTATCGTTTACACCTTAGGAGTGGTGATGTGTGTTTACTGGCAATAGTTTACTACGGTCGAATGTCCAACCTGGAAACAAATCACGGACTAGCGTCTGTCTTATGTCGGATATTAGCGTAGCCATACAGTCACCTGTTTCTGGTTGGTGAATTCATCCTGTACACAACCCAATTCTCAGCATCGCCCAGAGAACAGATCCAAGTGGACTTACAATATGCAATCTCCCATGTACCGCTGTACAGTCATTTCCCCGCTTCCGCGAAATTCGGAACTGGTGACGAACAAACAGGCTTAGACCTTGTGCTCACCAAAGAGAAAATAATGATCGATGCCGTAACCATGGACGCACTATTTGCCTGTACCGAGCAGGTGACGCTGCCCTTCAGTTACATCTTCTATCTTGAATACATGTATGAAACAATAAGGAAACCCAAGTCTTCACTCAGTAGGACATGCTGTCCGACCTCATTCAGCCAACAGACTGACCCTTCCTTGTTGTGAAGCCTTACGACATCATCTTGGAGGGAAATTGTCACCCAGTTCACTGGATGGGAGAGTCCCCAGCTCCATCTCCGTCCCAGTTGAAGTCCAGTTAGAACTGTTCTGAATATCGGTACTGTAACCACTCTAATCCCAATATTCGTTATCAGTATTGTTAGTGAGCTCCAATGTGACTTCCTGTTATTTGAAGATGATGTTAAGACCTGGCAGGACGTCAATACCGTGGGAGATCACGCGGCAATACAGAGAGATATCGACAACACCTACATATGCTTAAGCGAAAACAGGCTCTATTTGAAATACGCGAAATGCAAATTCCTGAGCGTACGCCATTAGTGTAGTCAGGAATAGAGAATATGAGAACAGTCTTTGTTATATGCAGCACAGGTAAGGGATCTAGGAGGACCGTGGCTGATCGAAAGTAGAATCAAGATGAGTCAGTCCGCAAAGTAGCTTATTCAAAGAGCTTTTGGGAAGCTCCAGCTAGGTTCCTTTCCGCAAGCGCCCAAAGCTTACTTGAGGCTGCAAGTGTAATACGCGATTTAAGCCTGGAGGCGTTGGCACAAATACGATGGAGATGCGCTTGAAATGCCATAAAGTAGGGCTACCAAAATCTTTAGGAAGATGTTTCATCGCACATGCCAACACAGATAGCCAGACCTAGGGTTGTACGAGGCAAATACCAGCGCCTGCGATGAGGCCTTCTAATGGTAAACCAAAAGCTGGCAAAACGCAGTCACGGCTTTCGCGATCTGTCGCAAGTAGTAAAAAAACTAAACTATAGTGAACAAGCACAATATGTCTGACCATAACGGTCGACTTCGGTGTCGATTAAAAATTTTCTCCCTTCGGTTAACCTGAATTTGAAACGCTATCCCGATTAACCATTTTCAACAAATTAACTCGCTTTTAAAATGAACAGCAGCACACTCCATCTTATCTAAATTACGTGACATCCTTGACTTAAATAGCAAGATGAAACAACACAAAAATACAGCGGGCCAGCAAGCCCTGTTCGTTTCGTAACGAAACAGGGAACGCCATTTGTGTCTAGTGAAGAAATTGTGATGTCAATTAAAACAAACATGTTTCCATTTTTCTCGTCATCTTACCCTACATTAAGTATTCCAGCATTTCTATATATTCCATGAAATATTTAAAAATTCGCCATGTTGAGGGACTTCATTCATTGCACTTTATTCAATGCGTAGGCCACCGAAATAGACTGTGTTTTTTAAACAGCATAGAAAAATTTCCGTAAATGAAGGCGCCTCACCGTACTTGCTAAACAATTCAACAGCTGCACGCAATAGGACCGAATAAGACGAGTGATGATCTTTAGCTTAGGTGAGAAAAATATTAGATATTTGTTTTGCACTACGATAACGCAAGACGATGCGCAGCTCACTGGCGCATCCGGAGTCCCGTGAATCGTTGACCCAAGTTACAAACACAAAATCACCTGGTGTAATGTTTCAACCATCAATTTGATGAGGACGTGCTCAAATACCTCACCGCTCACCCCGCTCAATTAATGTTCCCTTGTAATGCCTTAGGCTTCGTTTTTCTTGAACAGAGAGGGAGTGTTCTTGTGTTCGCCTATTCAGTTAAGTTAATGGAATCTCCTTGCCGCAGGATCTATATAACAAGGCTAAGCTTTAACATTTTCAATCACTGTGATAATGACGCTCTTAGTCTTATCATAAGTCTTTTTGGACCAAGCTGGGGCACGCTGTCTCCTACAGACAAATTTTGAACTACGCACACGAGTGAAATGCCTGACGACCAGATGCTTGAGTGCCTAAGGACTTGATGTGACAGCTGCGTCTAGATCGCTAAGTAGTTAGATCGAAGCACAGACGTTTATGCTGGGTTTGCTGACGTGGGAAGTGCCGTGGAGACAACCGCAGGTCTTCACAAGTATCTACAACCGCTGCAGCGATCATCAGATAAGGGTGACCGATGGCTTGGTGAAAACCCTGAGCGTGTTTTCGATCGAGTGTAACTGTATGGTTGCATACCTGGAAATTCAGGTAATTACACGCATGGATTTTCTCAAAAGTGGGCGAACTGGCGAAAGTGTAAGATACGCACAAATTGGACCCAAGTGGTAATGTTTCTAGAGTAACGTTCGTCGAACTGGTTCAACTGAGCATGTGCAGGATAATGTGATACAATAATTAGAATAGGAAATCCGGTTTGAGTAAGAGCAGTAATAGACTGCGGACACGAAGCAGACAAAGCCGTTTTATAATTATTGCTAGAATTAACATACTTCTTATTTCCTTTTCTGGATTTGAGCTTTCTGACCATAGGTGGTAATAGGGAATGTCGCTGAACGTACTGGCTTAGGAAAACCGCAGTTCGATGCAGGATTACATACCTAATACCTGCAATGCAGAATATAGGGATTCTAATGCTCAAATGCAAATAAATCTTTGCAAATAGCATTGAAAATCATCTAGGAGCTCCAAAACTGGTTACCGAACATCAACTTTTAACGTGGCCTGTCAAAAACTAGAGTTAATACATCTGTCTATCGGCAAAACTAAGACAGTCACCCAAAAGAATAGGTGCGCTGAATGGACCGAGGTCTTTAACCAGGGTTAGAACTGAAAACATGTAAAACGCGCGGAAGAAATTCCCGCTCGAAGAAGCGCTCCACAATAGGTTTAGATACGTAACATACATAAACATATATCAGCCCAGGAGTGGTTGCATGTATAACACCCGAGCAGATTCTAAAAGTTAAGTCACGAGACCTTATTTGTATCAACATTGCCTGTGCGATAGGAAGGGTATTTAACAATACATCTAAAAAGATATAATGCAGTAGGAAAATTTAACGCGTAGCTGCCTGCTTGCATTTGACATTGAGCAGGTGAGTGACTGTGCAGGAGCAGAAAGTCTGTTACTAATATCATTGACAGCGCATATGCCGACGCGGCAAGCATGCGACCTCAAAAGCGATGTCCAATTACCGTTAGCCATAAGGATTCAGAAGAGACCCAGCCTGCGAACCGGCAGCTGTGGACCTGTCGGAGGAAAACATCATAAAAGTGATATAGAATCTCATGCAACTACCTAAATCCTCAGTTTCATAACTGCACTTTTTGACGATTTGTTAATGACAGTGTGAGACTAGAGTCTCGTTCGGTAAAAGCCTAGCAGCCAGCACCATTTAATAACCATAATAATGCCCGTTTTGTAAGTAATTGATTGCTAAATCTCAGGTCAAACTGCGCATCAGGTAGGTCTAATATACGCTTACTTTTAGGACACGAAATGCGATACAAACAGGTAAGAGTTTCCTAATTGAACTAGCTAAGAGCATGGTAGGTATGCTGTCTGCTAACGTTGATTGAAGCCCAGTTTGGGGATATTCCTGATGGACACGTCAATATTATTTGATATTCAAGGGCGATTAATTTAAAGCGAATAGTTCGACATCTTGCTTTAAAGCCCATAGTTGATTTTCAACGCTTCCTGCAACGTTTTGCATTGGTGCATTGTAATACCTAAAAGTGAAACTGAAGGTAGTAAATATCTATACCCAGAGTCAATAAAACTGTCGACTAACTCAGGTTATTCCACGATTTCTCTCAATGCTTGAGGCAGAACGCGATTTAAAAAGAGAAGGCTAGGGAGGGAAATCATACTGCACAAGACTGTAATATATATATATATTTATGAACATATATAAGTATATATATATATATATAAACTGCTGAGAAATTCGGGTGAATGAAGGCGCCTCACTCTACCTGCTAACCGATCCAACAGCTGCACGCAATAGGACCGAATAAGACGATTGATGATCTTTAGCTTAGGTGAGAAAAATATTAGACATTTATTTTGCACTACGATAACGCAAGGCGATGCGCAGCTCACTGGCGCATCCGGAGTCCAGTGAATCGTTGACCCAAGTTACAAACACAAACCACCTGGTGTAATGTTTCAACCATCAATTTGATGAGGACGTGCTCAAATAGCTCACCGCGCTCCGTTCGAATGTAGTACATCCAACGGTGTTTTTCAAATCTTCCATTGGTGCTGTGCACCCCCACAATTATGCGTCTCACACCACACACAAGCGAACCAGCCGTCATAATCGACATACACGAAACAGCGGATTCACACCAAACGTGGATGCAAGTCGGAACGGCCTGTTGCCGATACGATACATCCCTTCGCACTGCGTGCAACAACTCAATACCAATGGTATATGATGTAACATATTGAGACTGTTTCCTATAAGTAACGTTTTGAGCACAGACGGCCCATCACACACACACACGGCACCGTGTTTAGCGTATAAGTTTTGGAATTGGGGTGCACGGTACATCGCCACGGAAAAGGTTACGAGCGTCGACCCACAAACACAATGAAACGCCTCATGATGTTCAGTGCTTGCTTAGTGCTCGGTAAGTCCCTCGCCCAAGTACAATCCAGTTTTCAGCTTCTAGTTCCCTATGATTTATGTATTATTCCTCGTGCGGTCTATTTAAAGCATCCTACTCGTTTTAGTTTGGGATGATATCGCGATGTTTGCCGTAATGGTATGGTTGCTGTGTCACATCCAAATTGGTCTCACTGGTTCTACCAAACGCTTCATTCACAGTCGGCGCGTACACTACACTAACTACGACCGCTGAGGCAGACGATTTGTCAACAACAGAAGTATTGCAGGTCCACGCAAGTGCAGAAAATGGGAACTCAACCACGACCACATCAGAAAAGAGCCCTTCCTGTTGTCACCGCAATCACAGATCATGCCCACGAAAATGTCCACACCGAATGGGACAGCGCAATGGGGTAAACGTGGGGGACTCGTGCATGCAGTGCTTGCGCACACTGTTTGACAGCTTTCAATCATCGGGCGATACTTTACGCTTCCTTCGTATGCTTGCTGAATACGGGCGTCAGGTGTTACCCGCTCATTAGATTTGCCACTCTGCGTTACTCGTTTTGATTCAATAATATATCTGTAAAACTCTACCGTTAATTATTCTGCTGTGTCTCGGTAGACCGTTGCAATTAGGTGTGCACAATGCTTTCTCTCTTACAACCACTGCACTTCGTGAGGTGCATGATACTAATGTGACGTTTATGTAAATATAACAACATCTAGCAATCCATACACTCTTGCGACCTGGATTTTTAACAGCAATCTTATTGAACCGTACGTGACACCTTAATTTTTCTCCAATGACATAGCCTCAAATAGATAATGGATCATATTCACTAGCTTTGTTGGTCTGATGAAAGCCAATTTTGTTTCAACTAGCGTCGTGAATTCAAGTGTAAACTTGGTAGGTCGCAATTTTCGCGGACAGTGGGTGACAGATTTGAATCCATTGCTTCACTTCTACCGGACGTCTCAGACTATAATTGTAAGAGTTCGGTGAATATATACGATGATTTCGGTAATCTTTAATCATGCGAACGTGATAGTGTGTTTTTCGGACATATGCGTATTTTTGTCGATTGATAGCTCGTTACTGTTACATTCCGGATAAGTGCAGGTTTAAGCTGGTGCTCAAATGAGGCATCAACACAATGAAATTTTAATGTTATAGATTTGGAATTTTGGAAGTTTCCTAAGCTGATGACCACATGCTATGGTATCTACTATGTAACGCGTGTAGTGGTAAATCAGTGGAGCGAATACAGACTTCGGGTTAAGATGCCTATGCTTAATTTCGTCGCGAAGATCAAAAGTGTTGTGAAATGAATGGATTCTTGCGAAACGGCGTACGGGGCTTATGTTCTTCACATTGGTATTAAAAAGTAATGTTCATTCATTTGTCTCACATTCGTACATATGTGTGCTTAATAGTTCTATTACCTTTGGTCACACAGGCGCATCCCATTGTCCCACATTAAATGTTGCAATGTGCAACTGGTTGGCCGTAATGTTCGATTTATGAGACACACCAGTTTGTCGCAGAATCAACTGAGTTACTGGGGAAAGTCCAATGTGTTCCAGTTCCGATAGCACCCAACTGAATTTTCCTCGCTTTGTTTCAGCTGCTTGCCTCTCTTTGGGTTTTTCGCTGGTGTCGCCTTACATAACTGGTGTGAAAGTTTTAAAGTGCGGAATTGTAACTACAGCTTGCTGATGTTTGTAGAGTCAGCTTTACAATCCGAGTACCCTGAATGTTTGATGTTATATAATCACCGCAAACCACCACCATTTGTAGAATACGAGTGATTTTCTATTGTTTAAAAATCCAATTGTCCTCTTTTCTTTCCGCGTGCGTTGTATCCTCGAATCGAGAGCACATGTATGCATTTGGTTACATGGAGGTTATGGATGAGTCAATCTCACCATCGTAGTCCATTAGAATACCTAGTGTATTCGTGCCTCATATTGCATGTTTGTCTCTCCGAACTGCTAATTGTATTCCGCTAGACCCATTTAACCTGATGTTTATCATGCTCCTTACGGTTAGTTGACGGTATTGTGTTAATTATGGTACATGTTATTCTCTAACACCTGTTCCTCCTTTTATACTGGCCATAATTTATTGGGTGTAATATTCAACTTCTCACCTCGGTTGCCACATGCGAACGTGCATGACATGCGTGTGGGTTCACTATGGAACACTAGCGGGTCAGCGGTGTGTTATGTTCTCTCCACCACAATGGCCATCCCATCATTTGCATCACCATAATCAGCTGAACCATGGCACATATCCCGCTGCTGTCTGGGAGTACGTTTTGGTAAGCTTTCCTTCTTAGCCAGATGTATTATAATATTCATATACAGTAACTAATATTTCACCAGGGATGAAACTTGGGATAGAATTATCAGATTTTGCAAGTCTTTTGGGAAATCCATTAGAAATAGATATTTTGGTATAAAAGTAGATGGGAGTATATTAATACGCGAATCACTGGAATCACCATGCTTCCTCCTGTATGTCTGCGTGGGTGGCGAAACCACGCAACTGTTTTGCCATACATGTTTTGAGGTGAGCTAATTCCACAGTTTAATCCAAAGTCAATTTGGAATCGTCTTGGGTAAGTATACATTCCTGAATTCTGTTGTTGGTGATTCCAGTACTCAACTGCTGGGCTAGCTTTACGCCCTCGATTCTATTTTTCGGTATGGTTGGATACTCGCAGGTTCGTACACCGCGAATGAGGCGATCAACGAAACCATCTACAGTTGCCTCTGGTTCCTGTGTAATTCGGCTGAATTTGAGACGAGCCATGAAGAGGTTTGTACACTGTCCCCATGACTTGTCCAGCACCTCTAGTGCTTTTATTAAGGTATCTTGTGACTGGAGATCTAAAGCATCAAATTGACTTCGTCCCCCATCCCCGAGTAGGTGTCTGAGAAGCTTCAGGTTCTGGCCTTCGTTATAGTTAGAAGCCACAGGTAGTAGGTCAAGATAGTTTGTAAACGAGGTTTTCCACTGGGCCCATGCACTTTCTGTAGGACGTAAGGTCGGATCAGAGCAGTAAACTGCAGGAGGATGTAATTCCTTGGCGTAGGTTCGTAAGGCGCGACGCTAGTGTTGTATATGGAAGGTCAAATGCACGAGCAAGTTAAAAGGTCATTCTGATGAACGAACTGCTGTAATCTTATCAATGTCTAACTGGGTGCGTACATTAAGGTGTCGCAAAGAGAAGGATGAACCAATAATGAAGCAGAGGATTAGATGCCTTGTTTTGTGTGTGTCTGGGGTTGTGTGCACGTGTCTGTTTAGACTAGCCGTCAAGAATGCTGACAGAATACACAACACTTCCTACGTTAAATATAGATAAACGTGCTAATCCAAATTTCGAAGGTCCGTTTGCATAATCGTTTTATCCTTACTCAATGAGCGAAGTTCAAACAGGTTCCGGAGATGTTTTAATGCATCGTCGAGGAGCTTTTAACATATAGTTGCCTTCTGTGCCTAAATAATCAAGGTCAGAACAGCGAGAAAGGAAATATTCCCGTCAGCAATGCAACCTGCTCTATTGGGTGGATGGTTTCTTTTGGTGACCCATCAATTGTGTATTGCGACCATGTTGACTATAGTTTTTGAAGATTAGATACGTCAGTTTATGTTCTCCCCGTAGAGCGCGATAACTTCCGCTCTGCATACCTAGTTCTTTCTGTCGCGGAAAACGGGGACAAATTGTACTCTTTTTTATCAACTTGCATCGCGATTTGGTGTCTAGACTGCAGGCAGCTCAGGTTTCATCCAATGCTGCCAGACAGGAATCTTGCGCTTTTCTTCTGGCTTTTTATATATATTAAGCATTTACGAGAATATTGGAACTTTGTGCATCCAGAATGCTCTCTGTAATATACCAAATTTCGGATTATAAGACTTGAACATCCCCACATATTGTTCCAAACGACGTTATATTTTGCGTCCCTATACCATTTCCATGTTGCTGAGACACGAGCTTTATATTATGTTATTTGTCTTTTTCGTAAACCCACGATTTCTAACTGTTCTCTTTGGACCCATGTTGGTTAAACAACGATCTAGAGAAAACACTGTCCGGTAATCGTTTTTACTTGCTGCACGCTTGCCGATTACCAATATTTCACTGTATCTTGATAGCATCGACAAGGGCGACCAAGGAATTGGTTGACGTACGCCATGTCGTAGCTGATGGCCAAGAAAGTGTTCGGTCCTTACACCGTTCCATTTTTACCACTGCGTTCCACCACAATAGATTGATACAATAAGCTTCGATTCCCAACCTGTAATCGCAACTGCTCGCGGTGCCCTTGCTTAAGTAACAAGGCGTAAGCTGGCAACCAATGTGCCGTATTCCACTCTTATTGCTGTCTTTCCATACCTAACTAGCCAAAATCAAGGATTCACCGGTCACTGCTCACGTGCGGCGTTTTAGATAACAGTCTCAAAATTCTCCACTGTAGATGCGGTCTGTTTATTGTAATTTCATAGGCTTGCTTTAAATCAAACCCGCCCACACATAAAATTACATATCGCGTTACAGTCACACAGCGTGCACTACATTAGTAAAGGAAGGGTTGTTCTGATCTAGACAAGAACAGTGTCACTAGTTCCTCAGTTTTGCTGCTTTGGAGATGGACTCGGTGATGTTACCGGTGGAAGGATTTAGCAACTTCCAGTTTGAAGACATCGGTCTCTGTCCTACCCTCCGCTGTTCCGCTCCAACCGACGCCGAATAATAATTTTGATGGTACACGACCGATGTTGACCGAAACCGTGTTGCTCCCGAGAATTGTGATTTGCGACATTTCTAACTAACTCAGTAGTACCTCAGCAATGGCCGACACCATCACACTTGCAAGCACTGGATGAAGGACTGTTGGATGATAGTTAACGGGTTCCAAACGGCCGTCAGCTTTACAAATCATTGTAGACAAAACATGCTTCTACATCATAGGGGCCTGTTGTTACGTTAAGCAAATCTAAAGTCATTTAACTAATGGCCTTTTGTATAGAAACATGTACTCTTAACTAACCCACTTTCTAACCCGTCATATAACCAACTGAATATCGCTGGCAACAATCTTTCCGTGATTTCCGCCGAATCGTACAAAGGGATTCTCCTTGCTAGTATTGTTATAGTGTTTAATGTTCTAGCTAGATCACCTCTGAAGAAGTTGAAGCATTTGTTCCTAGACGTCACCGGGCTTCATAATGTAGAGTGTTGTGCCGTACGTATAAGAAAGAAGCGCTTACAGGGTATTTGCGCTAGGCTTATGAAATTCAAAAACATTAAGTGCGCAAAATTTTTTATAAGGAATATCCGTTATAAGAGTGACAAGTGAAGCAAAGCATGAAGCTATAAAGCCCGGTGAGAGCGTGTGAGCGAATGCATGCAAAGAAACACATCCGATCTCTCACATACTGACTCAAGAACCGCATGTGATGAGGATGCCCACAAGAATGTTCATTGCGCAGCTGACCTAAATGACCCTGGGCCTACGGTCCGAGGCATACCAACACAAACGCTGTTCAAAAAAACTTACTGAAATCCAGACGTCTATACCATT